CGATTTATACGATGTTTGTCTTTTTATCAATGGTTTTCCCCCTTGAATAATCTCCCATTCAAATCTGAACACAAATTTTTTAGTCGAAATTCATGTCAAAATCTTACCCCAAGATTCGTCTATAGACATAGGTCTACCCTTCCCATGCCCATAACTCGGTCAAATCTCATCCGATTTACACGATGTTTGTCTTTTTATCAATGGTTTTCCCTCTAGAATAATCTCCCATTCAAATCTGAACACAAATTTTTTAGTCGAAATTCATGTCAAAATCTTACCCCAAGATTCGTCTATAGACATAGGTCTACCCTTCCCATGCCCATAACTCGGTCAAATCTCATCCGATTTATACGATGTTTGTCTTTTTATCAATGGTTTTCCCTCTAGAATAATCTCTCAATTATATCTAAATACATATTTTTTAGTCGAAATTCATGTCAAAATCTTACCCATTTTTTAGTCGAAATTCATGTCAAAATCTTACCCCAAGATTCGTCTATAGACATAGGTCTACCCTTCCCATGCCCATAACTCGGTCAAAACTCATCCGATTTATACGATGTTTGTCTTTTTATCAATGGTTTTCCCTCTAGAATAATCTCTCATTCAAATCTGAACACAAATTTTTTAGTCGAAATTCGTGTCAAAATCTTACCCCAAGATTCGTCTATAGACATAGGTCTAAACTTCCCATGCCCATAACTCGGTCAAATCTCATCCGATTTATACGATGTTTGTCTTTTTATCAATGGTTTTCCCCCTTGAATAATCTCCCATTCAAATCTGAACACAAATTGTTTAGTCGAAATTCATGTCAAAATCTTACCCCAAGATTCGTCTATAGACATAGGTCTACCCTTCCCATGCCCATAACTCGGTCAAATCTCATCCGATTTACACGATGTTTGTCTTTTTATCAATGGTTTTCCCTCTAGAATAATCTCCCATTCAAATCTGAACACAAATTTTTTAGTCGAAATTCATGTCAAAATCTTACCCCAAGATTCGTCTATAGACATAGGTCTACCCTTCCCATGCCCATAACTCGGTCAAATCTCATCCGATTTATACGATGTTTGTCTTTTTATCAATGGTTTTCCCTCTAGAATAATCTCTCAATTATATCTAAATACATATTTTTTAGTCGAAATTCATGTCAAAATCTTACCCCAAGATTCGTCTATAGACATAGGTCTACCCTTCCCATGCCCATAACTCGGTCAAATCTCATCCGATTTATACGATGTTTGTCTTTTTATCAATGGTTTTCCCCCTTGAATAATCTCTCATTCAAATCTGAACACAAATTTTTTAGTCGAAATTCATGTCAAAATCTTACCCCAAGATTCGTCTATAGACATAGGTCTACCCTTCCCATGCCCATAACTCGGTCAAATCTCATCCGATTTACACGATGTTTGTCTTTTTATCAATGGTTTTCCCTCTAGAATAATCTCTCATTCAAATCTGAACACAAATTTTTTAGTCGAAATTCATGTCAAAATCTTACCCAAGATTCGTCTGTAGACATAGGTCTACCCTTCCCATGCCCATAACTCGGTCAAATCTCATCCGATTTACACGATGTTTGTCTTTTTATCAATGGTTTTCCCTCTAGAATAATCTCTCATTCATATCTAAATACATATTTTTTAGTCGAAATTCATGTCAAAATCTTACCCCAAGATTCGTCTATAGACATAGGTCTACCCTTCCCATGCCCATAACTCGGTCAAATCTCATCCGATTTATACGATGTTTGTCTTTTTATCAATGGTTTTCCCCCTTGAATAATCTCTCATTCAAATCTGAACACAAATTTTTTAGTCGAAATTCATGTCAAAATCTTACCCCAAGATTCGTCTATAGACATAGGTCTACCCTTCCCATGCCCATAACTCGGTCAAATCTCATCCGATTTACACGATGTTTGTCTTTTTATCAATGGTTTTCCCTCTAGAATAATCTCCCATTCAAATCTGAACACAAATTTTTTAGTCGAAATTCATGTCAAAATCTTACCCCAAGATTCGTCTATAGACATAGGTCTACCCTTCCCATGCCCATAACTCGGTCAAATCTCATCCGATTTATTAGATGTTTGTCTTTTTATCAATGGGTTTCCCTCTAGAATAATCTCTCATTCATATCTAAATACATATTTTTTAGTCGAAATTCATGTCAAAATCTTTCCCCAAGATTCGTCTATAGACATAGGTCTACCCTTCCCATGCCCATAACTCGGTCAAATCTCATCCGATTTACACGATGTTTGTCTTTTTATCAATGGTTTTCCCTCTAGAATAATCTCTCATTCATATCTAAATACATATTTTTTAGTCGAAATTCATGTCAAAATCTTACCCCAAGATTCGTCTATAGACATAGGTCTAAACTTCCCATGCCCATAACTCGGTCAAATCTCATCCGATTTATACGATGTTTGTCTTTTTATCAATGGTTTTCCCCCTTGAATAATCTCTCATTTAAATCTGAACACAAATTTTTTAGTCGAAATTAATGTCAAAATCTTACCCCAAGATTCGTCTATAGACATAGGTCTAACCTTCCTATCCTCATAAATCGACCAAGTCAGATTTTCACGAGGTTTAGCCTTTTTTTCACGGGTTTGCCTCTAGAATAACCGCGCATTTCATTTGCGCATTTCTAGTGGATGGCAAGCTTTACCATTTTTTTTTTGTCTAATATAAAGATTTAAGCACAAAATTGTTGGCAATTTCGCTGAGTGTATGTTATATATATGCATAACCGAAGGGAAACAGTCTCTAGGCAGCCACCCATTGCAACAACAATGTGCCACTATAAATAGTCGTCAGCTATTACAGATGCATGCAATCATACATATATATATATATAAATATGTAAATGAATATGTATGTGTCTGCACGTGTGCATGTATGTGCAACAATAAAACATTTGTTGACAGGCCGCGCATTGTGCAATTTAATTAAAATCTCGAACGGGCGCCTCTGTGGAGGTGCCCATTAGAAGGCGTCTCAGGTGGCAAATCGAGGTGATAATTGGCTTGATCAGGTTTCAGACCAGACCAGACACATACATTCCCATATGCACAAAATGTGTGGGTTCTCAAGCAATGAACGAACGGATTGGGAATTCGCACAACGGTTTTCATTTCGCACGGCTATAAAAAATTCATAATTGCAGCTGTTTGTTTGTGGCCCGTAATTCATTACCGCCATAAATTAGAAAATTGAAAATAGAAATAGAAATTGAAATAGTCAACGGCAACTAATCTGAGGCGACACTTTTGAGCCCAGCAAAACGTTTAACTAAAACAACTGAGTGTGATCGACTTCTAGATGCTCTGCTAACAGTTTCAAATTGTTATGCCTACTTATTTGAAGATTCAAGATGAGCCCTACCTTGGATCATTTATAAAGCGATTTTTGGTGCTTTAAATTGGCATTCAAATAAGAGTCCTAAAATGAAGGATTTATCTAATATAAAATGGAAGAGCAAGCAGAGAAAGTGTCAAATGTAGGCTCTATGAAAACCTGTTTGCCAAGATTCGTGTTTGTAGCAACTATACTCACTATCGATATACAGACGATCGATATTTATCGATATCGGGAAAAGCGTGCGGAAAGGGTTTCAAAGAGTTATCTGTATAAGAAACTATATTTGAGAAACTGCATGCAAAAGTTGCAGTATGTATGCTCCAATGCTCGCCACGAGATGCTCCAAGAAACATTTTATCGATCAGCTTGGAACATGCTTGAACTGCGTGAGCCTGCATATAAAATTTAACATACATCTGTATCTAATCTCTAAGAGCGAGGTTTTTATAGAGACAAATATGGCCAGATCAACTCGACTTTTTATGGTAATCCAGAATGTCTGCCACATTTAACATGAGAAAGCTTTTGCATGACGTTATTTTTAAATAATGTGCAATGATTACAGGGTATGAAAAGGGCATAACTGACTGATGCAGCTGTGCACATATAAATCAATCGATTTTTTTTTTTATAAATTCTGAGTAAATATGTTAAAATTAACATGTTTATATATAGATATGTATATAAGCTTATGTATATAACTTTATAATCGGGGGAGGAGAAATCCGTGTTGCAACAAATTCTAAGCTCTAGAACTTGGAATAAATACCGTTTTTCAAAACGGTCGGGTAGTTTCGTTTATATTTCAAAGTCGCCATGAGTTTTATGAAAAGATTTTAGCACGAGCCAAGCCAAATATAATATAAATGATATAAAAATAGACTAAATATAAAATTGATCATTATATAGTATAGTACAAATATAGGATATATGTATATCTATTCTGTCTGCTGGGGTATTTAATTGTCGACACGTTTTCGAACTTGTTAACAATAATTTTGATTAAGTGTTTGCCGAGGGTTTTTTTTCTCTGTTAGCTTCTGGTGAATTGATAAGCTAACCAAACGAACGGGGTACGTCAGACAGTTGTGATAAGGGGCAAAAAAATAAATGTGACCATCTTGTAATGTAATTGGACAGAAACCCCACCCCCGTCCCGCTCAGCACACACAGCTGCAAAATGGCAACTAAGTGCAGCTTATATTGAAAATTGGCTTAAACCTGACCGTGAACAAATATTATATTTGATAAAGCAAGACAAGACAAGGCCAACAACAAGCAGGGGCTAAAATGTAGGCGTGAAAAGCGTCAAAACTGTCGATATTTTGATTTAGATTTTGCACTTCCGGTGCGCAAATCACAATAGACAATAACAGCAAAACTGTCAAGGCAACCACAAGAGCAGGCTCAGGGTGGGAGAGGGGGTCGGGGGGATTGCCATGCATAACTACTTAGCTGCAACACGCACACGCACACACACACCCATCCGCTACCTCTATTTAATTCAAATTGGGCTTCAACTATTGCCGGCCGCCTGCACTACTGAATTTTCGCATATAGATGGAGAGGGCAAGACGAAGGTAAACAAAAAAACAAAAGAAAAAAAAAAAGGTTGCTTACCCGTCTGTTGATCGGCAACTTCGCTGGCGCAATCTGACATATTTACAGCCGTTGTTGGTAAATGCAAGACGCTGACTGTCAATTTTAATTGAAAAAAAAGGTGTACTTTCACACACAAATTGCTATAAAGACGTCTTTCCTTAGATATGCTCTGCAATTGTTATTTAATTGGCGTGCAACACAGACGCGAACGACGCTAAACAATAGAACAAACTGAGCAAGTGTGACCAGTTGGATGTTGCTTATAGAATACATAAACACATTTAATATCGATATGGCATGTTCGTCAGTTGCGTATCGGACGTGTTGGTATTTTAGTGCTGCCTATCGAATATACAGTGCTGCCAGACTTGCAACCCTGTACAGAGTTGCATTGCTTGTTGTTCATCGAGAGTCGCAAAATGGTGGCTTCTGCTATACGCGGAGAAATTTTGTTGTACCATTAAGAACTAAAAAAAATACGCATTTGTGCTAATAATATTTGGTAAATTTATAGTGCAAAACTTTCACTTGCCCGTGTCGCTGCAGTACGCGTGTGAAAGTGTACACAAATTGCGTATCAAAGTCAGCGAAAATTGTTCCAAAATCTCCGCAGCAATAAAAAAAAAAACGCAAGGCAAGCGAAGTGCGTGAGTGTGTGTGTGTGTATGTTTGTATGCGCGTGTAAGTGCTTGTGCATGTGTATGGCGAGCGTTTGTGTGTGTGTGTGTGCGCAAAGTGTATGCAAAAAAGAAGAAGACAAAACAGAAGAGCATTAAAAAACGTATTGTTGGGCTGCCTGTTGTAGCCCCCACTGACAAGTTGAACGCGCACACACAGCGACAACAACAACAACAACAACAACAAGAGCAACAGAAAAGACAAAAATTTACAAGTCTCTAAACGTAAGCAACAACTACAACAAGTGTGCAAAAATTAATTATTATTTAAGTGTGTCACTAATTTCATTTCAAGCGTCCGAATCGCAGTCGACGTCGTCGTCGTCGTCGTCGTTGTCGTCGTAATGCGCAGCGTAGAAATCATTAAAATTTATTATTGAAAAACGTACATATGAAGGCGTCGCAGTCGCTGTCAACGGCAACAGCAACAGCAACGTCGACATCGACATCGACGTCGTTTTTAGTTGGCGTCGGCGCTGCAACTGTGTTTGCACACAAAGCAAAGTGAAAAAGCCAGAGCGGGCAGAGGTGGCGGGCAAAGACGCAGACGACGATGAGCGTATAGTTGCACAGGCGGGTGTGCGGGGGCAGCAAGCGAACGTTTCTATTATGGACTTTTTGGGGTAGAACAATACAACGAAGACGTCAACGACAACGCCAACGACGGCAATCCAAAGGCTCAACAAATTTTTGCTAAGAAGGAATCACAAAGCGCAACAGCGACGTCAGCGTCACCCACCACCAACGCAGCGGCGGCTGCTGCTGCGGCCACCCTTCAAATGACAAGCTGCACGCCCACCCGTTGTCCGCTGCCCGCTGGCTGTTCGCTTGTCCGATGCTGCTGCTGTCGCTGTCGCTGCCGCTGCTGCTGCTGCTGCTTTAACTTTGCTTTGTTGCTTTTTTCGCTGACGTTGGCTGAAAAATATTTGTTGTTGTGTGGCTCGCGCCTTTTTTCATACGCTGTTCGTAAAGTGTAAAAGGAGTATATTGGCGCGTTTTTTTAATGTCCGGGAGTAATGTATGCTAAGCCACGCCCACCAGCGACTGCTCGTTCGCCTTAAATTGTAAAACCTAAAGACTTTTCCAAAAGTCACAGTTTGAAAGCCACTGGCTAACTGCAGAGTATTGCGCAGTCGGTAACGCTTGACATTCTTGTTTTACCATTTTGCAATTGTGTGCTATTTTTGCTTGTTTTCTTTTGCAATCTGCTACTTGGACTTGATCTTCTTCTTCTTCTCCTCCTTCTGCATAAACATAATCATCAGCTCGTCTCTCACCTACGTCATTTCTTCGTTTCCAGCTGTGCGAGTGCAAATTAACCAAAATCTACATTTCCGGCTGCCTGTCCCCAAACCCACTCCATCCCCCCACCCCCCGTCGCTTCAGGAGCAACAGCATCAACGCCAACTATCGCCTGCTCGCTCGCACGCACAATTGGCAACCGGCAGCGTTACCGTTACCGTTAGCGGGCCAAGTGGAAGCCAGAGTCACCCGGTTTTGAGTTCGAGCTGCTTGCTGGGAAGGCCTCACACACACGTTTTTACACACACACATCTACACTGGATTCATGGTGAGTTGTTGCCCGCCACGAACAGCTGTTGAACTAGGCATATATTTAATTATTATTATTTGTTTGCTTAACACACACACACACACACGCACTCACACACACACACAGACACAATATTTGCCGCCGGCTCATGTGTCATTCTCTATTGCTGCCCCAGGGGGCAGGCAGATTCCCAGCTCTCTTTTTCGGTTCATGAACTATTGAACTACATATATATATATATATATATGTGTGTGTGTGTGTGTGTGCTGGAAAATGCGTCAGGGGAGGGGCTACGGCCCGCTGTGATAGACGAGCAATTTGCCAGGCTCACTCACTGCATCGTAAACTAATTAGGCAAAGTGCTTCAAGTGCCAAAGCATACACACCAAACACACACACACACACACACACAAGCATACGTAAATTCAATGGAAGTATTATAAACTAGAAAACAGAATTTGTAAAATGATACGGTCATTGTTTTTTTTCTTTTTTACATTGAATGATATCCAGTAAAAATATCTTAAAAATGGGCACAAAATGTGACTCACGACTTAAATCTGAGAATCTTTTTAATATCAAAGTGAAGGTTTTATAAAAGAACTAGTTCCAAGCAATTTCCCCTGCTTTAATATTAACGAGAGTGAGATTCAAAATTAAATTAGATAAAAGTTTCATGGATTTATCAAAAATAAACAGGAATATACTATTAAGATCTTGAACGGTTTTCCTGTTTTGTTTCTTCCTTGGGTTATCCTTTAAGCAGACATCATTTCAAGTAACACAAGCTACGGTCCATTACAAGGAGTTGTCACTGTAACATTAACTGTTTATTGTATTGAACATTTGGCAAATTGTTATTCGCACAGTGCAAGACGTAAAGCTATTTACTGAGGCACTAGTTCAAGTTCACGCAACTGTGATGCCAGTTCACGCAACTGTGATTCCAGTTCGCAACAAGCTCTGCTTGTTGTTGCCATGCTGTTCTGTGGAGCTGTTGCATGTTCCGGTACCGGGGCCACGTCGGAGTCAAGCTCGAGTCGAGCTGTCAGAGCGTAACATCTACAAGCTGTCAATTAGTTGGCGCGTTGTTCGCTGATTAATTGCCGACTGTTCGATAACTTGGTGTTAACCATAATTAAAATGCAAACAAATCTATTTATTTAATGGCCATTCAATAAACTAATGTACAGTGATAGCTCTTCTGAGCGAACCAACTATTCAGCTGATTCAACTAGTTCAGTTCCCTTAGCACCTGAAAATCCAGGGCATATCTTTGGCCAAACTTTGCATAAAGCTGCCCACTTTCAGTTTAAGATATTACTCTTTTTGTTTTCACCCGAATCAAGTAATATTTTAAGCTGTTTTTCCACGAATAAATGTATTTGTTGTAGTTCGCTGGAAATTTCTTTATGCGTTCCAGCTTATCTCAGCCTAATGGAAATTAGTCAAAACTAGGGGCTTATCTCTGCGCGCGACCCCCACCAAAAGGGTTTGTTGGAAGGCTGCCTGATTACGAGGGGCATAAAACGTCAAGTGTTTAATTAATAAATAACGTGCTAATAATGCATTTAATAACAAAAAAAAAAACAAATGCGAACTTGAAGCGCGTTAATGCCCCGAACGGAAACTCGGAAACCCGACAAAAGCAACAAAAAATGAAAAATTCTTGTGGAATGCCGCCCACGTTCACGCCCACTGATGTGATTTTGGTTGTGCCCCTTGATGAGGTTGTTGATGATAATATTTGGCTGTGGGAAGGAGGTGGGGTTAATGGGGGTTCTACGGCCTTTGATGTCGATTCCGTGTGCTTTCATATTTTATTATTATTAGTCATTTGGCTTATTTATAAGGCGCTGTTAAAGTTTACGTTTACGTTTTATTAATCTGTTTGGTGTGCTTTTAATTTATAATTGTCGCTTATCTGATTCAAAAAGCAAGACACTTGGACTCAAGTGTCGATTTATAGCCACCGATTAGAAATTGTGCCGTCAAACAGCCACACATATGCACACACTTGTGTAAACAAACAGATGTATATACGTATATATATATATATATATATATATATAAATATATATGTATGTGTGTGTATAGCTATTCCATATTCGATCATTTCGCGCGCATCCCAACACCAAAGCAAAAGCTCTAAACATGGAATGATTCCAAAGTACAAAGAGCAAGTTCTATTTGAACTGTAAATAATAATGCTCCAAAATTATGACGAACATTCTAATTGAAGTCTTAAGCCATGCGAAATTCCAATTTGAAAACGATTTCAGCTTGTTAGTCTTTTTTTTTTTCCATGAAATGAACGAAAATGAATTGATTTGTAAAATCAAATATCATTGGGATTTGTTAAACACTGTATGCCAGTGTTGAAAACGCTTTAAACGGAATCTGTTATCATGTTCATAAATAAGCAGCTTTTGTTTTATCCGACGTAAAACACATTTTAAACCAGAAAAATATGTATATTTATAATAATCCCCATTTGGGAAAGTACAGTTTATTTATAGCCTGGAAAAAAAAGAGAAGAGAAGAGAAGAGCTATATTGTTTCGCTCTCTTTTACTCTGCATCTCGCATGGCAAACAATTCCAGCTGCGTGCTACTCCATTAGCGATAAGATAATTAACACACAAAGCGCCTATTAAATCTATATATTCATTTATTTACGTATAAAGTCAAATAATTAAGCGCAGGTTAATCGGTGCAAAATCAATGAACCAATGGGAATATAATATACAAACGTGTTTAACAAAAAACAAAAAAAAAAAAAATTAACAATATCAACAATGGATTCACATAAATGTTTGGCATTGTGTGTAATTCGATTATAGAAAGAGAGATGTAGACCGAGAGAGGGAGAGAACGGACAACTTCACATGCAAAACGCTCATTTACATTATGCGAGACACAAATTCTCTGACACTCGTGTTGCCGTACAACAACAAACAATGACGACAGCGCCATAAACACTTGAAAAGGTCCAACGACAATAACAACAAAATCAGCAAGAAAAACAACAACAACAGCAACAAGAACAATAACGGCAACAACTACAAAAAGAAGTGCTAGGCAGAGAAGAAAGGGCAAACGGTCTCCTTTTACATGCCCTTATTCTCATTTATGTTTACCCTTCACTCTTTGCTGGCCGTTCCGTTTTCGGGCAAACGAGCGACATAAGTAACACGAAACAATTTCCAAATGAAGCGCGGATAAGCCGCAAAATCCTTAAAATACTCGATAAAATTACATAAAACTAATCGCACAAGCACACGCACACACACATAGAGTGTGACGGAAAGCTAAAGAGAGAGAGCGAGCGAGAGAGAAAGAAAGAGAGAGTGTGCGAGAGCAAGTAAGACAGCATACGAATTGGCTGTATGACTTGCCTGTCTGCGATGGATGGGTCGCCGTTAGAGCGGCAGACGCGGGTCGACAGACATGAAGAGAATGATGAAGGTATCTACACCGACAATCTGTTTAACAACTTCATGAGCAGCAAATCCAACAAATCGTATAAACGACAACAACAACTACAACGACGACGACGACGACGACGACGACGATGGCGATGGCGATGACGATGACGACAACGAAGTGAAGTTCGGCTGCACACGAGCAGCCCCAAATGATGCACACGTTAAGAGTGTTTGTGGGGTGGGGTAGACAGAGGCAGAGGCAGAGAGAGAGAGAGAGAGAGAGAGAGTGAGAGAGAGCGAGAGGCAAAGTCGCAGTCGCAGTCGTTGTGGGTCGTTTATTTGGTTTCGGTTTGGCTTTTTGGAGCGCCGCATCAGTGCCTGAATAGATGCTCAATCGTTCGGTTGAATGAAGTGGAGCAGCGTATGGAAGCTTTTACATAACAATATGCGGGCGGGGAGTGGGGCTGCTGCTATGAATGGAGAGAATGTGGCATAATGTTCTTGTTGATGTTGAGTAATGGGTATAACAACTGTAAGCTGCCAGCACTCGAAAATCTTATACCACACACACACACACACACACACATGACTATTACCATATGGGCCACAAAAGAAAAGAGAAATTTGTTGGTTATTTATTTAGTTTTTATTTTTTTTTTTTTTTATCTCTGGTTGGGGCAACGAGTTGAGTGCTCTGAACGCTGTCCAATTGCCTCTTGCATTTTGACTTCTTGTTTCTTCTTTCGTTTTTTTTTTTCCTTTCGGGCGTCTGTTTTGATTTGTTGTGAAAATTTGGCTTTCACAACAAACTGAAACAGACGAACAAATTTAGTGTAGGTATTTGTGTGTGTACATTTATGTGTGTATGTGTGTGTATGTGTGTGTGTGTGCGTGCGTGCGTGTGACTGGCCTCGAGGCACCTTCTTCAAACATTTAATGGGGTTTCCGCACTTGACACACACACACACACACACACTCAACTGGACGGATTTTAGACATTCCAAGCTATTGAGCTACTCATCATCCACAAGCTCTCTTGAGCTCTTGTGTGTCCATGACGAAGCTAATTTGGTAAAGCGAATACCTAAACCAAATATTTGTGGAGAGTTTCGTTTCTACTCACATTTTTGGTATTTTAATACTAAGAAGATTTTGAATTGTGGATTTTACAAATATGCAGTTATTTATTAACTGTTAGAATTGAATATTTGTGCAGATTTTCGTTTCTACTCAAATTGTTTGGTATTTTAATACTAACGAGATTCTAGATTTTACAAATATACAGTTTCTGTTAACGCTAACTCTAAAGCAGACCAAATTCAATATGTTTTATTTGGTATCAATAGAATTTAAACTACATGATTACCATGATTTCAAATAACGCTAGGTAAAAATATATAGCGCTGCCAGATTTTCATAATAGAAAAAATGCCCACTTTTTATTCAAAGAATTTTATAAAATTATTATGTTACAGTTACAAAACGTTAACTGATTTTTGTAGGAAATGAATTGATATATATAAGAAAATAATATCTGATGCAGATTTGTTGCGATGCCTATACTTATGTGTGTGTCTGTATTATATTTTAGGGCTTCTTATATATATATATTTTTTTTTTTTCTGGATACACCCTGTCGAATGCATATTTCTATTCAAATTGTGTGCATCGCACGTTGTGCATAAATTTGTGTGTATCTCTGCTTGTAGCAAGCCATAGCAGCAGCTGCTTGTACAGGTAACGCATTCAATATTCGCTCTAGTCTAAACGAAGCTACCTGCCCGACATCATGGAGTTCCACTGTTGCTGTTCCGGCTAGCACGGCAGATTATTAACATCAAGTTAATAACCACCCTAATGTACAGTTGTGCGGCGCATTCAGCAGCCGTTGCGCCAGCCGTGCGAAGGCATTTTAAGTTGTCTGCCGCCGCCGCTGCTGCTGACGTTCATTGTTGTTGTTGTTGTTGTTGTTGTTGTTGTTGTTGTTGTAGCCTATTTGTCAGTCAATTAGTCAGCTTATTGGCAAGCGATGATTGCAGAGAGAAAAACAAGCTAAATACAAGCACAAACAAACACACACACGCACACACACGCACACACACACACAACACAAGAGACCGACAGTCGTCGGGCACAGCCGACGGCCGACAACCGACAGCTTTTCCATTTCAAAATTACGCTCCAGACGCACACACACACACACACACACACACACGCACACACAGCGTCGTCGTCGTTTAGCCGCGTGCGTACACACAATTTTCCGCTACTCATGATACAAATTGTTTATTGGATTTCCTCTCAGCTTGCTAAGTTTTATTTTTCATTTACATTTCTCGTTTTGTTTCGTTTTATGTTTATGGGCTGTTTAGAAAACAATTTGCGGCACCCAACACCCAATTCCACCCTCCCTCCCCCACCCCTCCCGTCCAGCTGGGCTGTTAATCTGTCTGCCTGTGTGTGTGTGTGTGTGTGTGTGTGTGTGTGTGTGTGTATTTTGTTAGTTGATAAAGCGCGTGTTGACATTAATGGCGGCAACGCGCCGCTTGAAATTGACAGCAGCGTTATTGACCTTAAATTTTCGTGGCCCAAACCTCAGTTCAGCTCAGTTATTGTTCGGGCCAGCAACTGCTGGCGACCAAACCGTTCACCAAAGAGTCAGCCAGTCGAGTACATTTTCGGGGCTGTGCTCTGACTCACACAAGCTGCAAAGTACTCGGACAACTGGCCAACAGTCAGTCACGTATCCACGACGTTGTACAGAGCAGAGCAACAACAACAACAACTGCAACAACAACAACAACAACAACATCAGCAAGCAACGCCCCATCAACGGTCGCTGCCATAATTTGTGGTCTTTTACTGTGAACTGCTGCTGCTGCTGCTGTTGTTGTTGGCCCATTGTTGCCGCAACCTCAGTGCTGGGCATTATGATACGGCTATTAATACATACACATGCACACACACACACACACACACATACACATACACACTCAGCCATCTAGTGGGGGCAGGGTTGGATTCTCTGTAACGAAGGCGGCGCATTTTCGGTGGTGGCAAAAATTGTTCGAGCCTTTCATTTTGCCTTTTTAGATTTTATGGCTTTTGTGCGTTACAACGGCGCTTTTTGTACTACATTTGTTTTATAACAGCCACCGCAGAAGCAGCAACAGCAACAGCAGCAGCAGCTACAGCAACAGCGCCAGACCGCGAGGGTACGCTGCAGCAGCAGGAAGGAAGCCAGAGGGAGGTTGGGTTGGGTACACACACACACACACAGCTTAGCACATTGCTCGCAGTTATTACACAATTTTCCCCAAAGCACCAGAGCCAAAGCCACTTGGGCCATTCGCGTGCCCAGAACAAGAGCGGGCAAGGTAGCGACAGCAAGAGACGAGGCCAGGAGCTACTCACCTTCTTATTTTCTTTTTTTTTTTTTTTTTGTGAAATTTTTCCACTCACGACTTCTTCCCTACCATAAAAATACAAAAAGTTGCTAACCAAGCAGCCCAAAGCCAGCCGTTCAGTCAGCCAGTTAGCCAGCCAACCAGGCCAGCTAACCGGGCTCTTGCTGCTGCTGCTGCTGCTGATGTCGCTGATAAGTGTTGGTCCCAAACGCAGTCGACCGCTGCACAGTGGCAATAAGTGGCTCAAGAAATGTCTAGGGCCATATACGTTGTTGTTGTTGTTGTTATTAATATCTGGGCATGTCAGATAACGTTTATCAAACGTATTTTGGTAACTTAATTAAGGCGATTAAAATCTTTAACTGGCCACAATCATATGCAAAGTTATATTAACAATAACAAAAGAGGTTTGGGTAGTGGGGGTAACAGTCTATTCAAGGTCTCATTTAAAAAAAAAAATACAATTTAGTACATTCAACCAAACATAATTCTCTTAATTAGCGCTTCATATTAAAATTAATATAAATTTGCATAATAAAAGACTAGAAGTGTACCGATTGTGCCCGATCTATTCGAGGTTTTCTAAAGGTCTTATTCAAAGTAAAACAAAGAATAGAATCGTAGTAGAATCTTAGCCAGCATATTTGTTTTTTAGTTTACGCAAAATTAGCTCTACATATGCAAAGTTTTATTAACAATAATAAAAGGGTGTTTATTGAGTAGAATCTTATATTTGTTTATAGTTTGCATAAGCTTTTCATATGTGGAGAAATATTAACAATATTGAAAGGGTCGTAGGAAGAACTGTTTATTATGATCCAGATCCCATCAAAGTATATGAAGGTTTTATTCACTGAGTAGAATCTTAGACCATGTTTTTTTATAGCTTACATAAGCTTTACTCTATAATAATGACAATTATTTAAATTGTCAATTTGATTTAATTTAATCAGTAAGATTTGACAGTAGATGAAAATCAAGAGAACAATCACAATTGACTGCAATTTATTTAACAATTTCACATACGTTGCAAATAGTTTAACGCTATTCACTTGCATTTCAATAGGTTTTTAACCACGGTGCAGGCCCCAGCCTGGCCGTTGGCACCCTACGCCGCCTCATCGTCAGTCATTTAGGCGGCGTGTCGTGCCTTATTGAGTGTAAATCTGTCGACAATATTTTCTGTTTTATTTAATTTTTCCATGTTTCTTTTTTGTTTTTTTTTTTTTTTTTTTTTGTTGCGCCTGTGCAAAGCCGAACCGAGGCGCAATGGTTTTTATTTGCCTGCTGCTGCTGCATTTAATTAATTGATTTTAATTGCCATAATTTGTGTGCCGTTGCCACACAACCGCAACCGCCGGCATGCCAGAGTGTGTGTGTGTGTGTGTGATATTGATTCGTAAGCAAATTTAATGATAAGTCCCCTTCGCCCAACTGCCCCTCGTGTGCGGCCTCGACTCGTTACAGTTATTCGCCAAGTTACTTGAGCGGAAAATCTGTTTACAGCTGCACGCACACTTGAGAGGCGGCCAAAGAAAAAATAACCACACACAGATACACACGCACACCAAGTGACTAAAGCTGCAATGAAAATGTTGCCCTTACGCCTCCCCAACCGGCTCGAGTCCGCGTCTGACAGCATATGCAAACGATTAAGTACTCGGTCCGCACATAAAACTCCCTAAATCCAGTGCGTCTGGCCTCCAGATTCGCTGCACGCAGCTCTCGTCTATTTGCCGGGCAACATTACATGGCATTATTTTTATTGGATTATTTATTTATGCATGTTGATATCACATGAGAGCGCTTGTATGTTGTTTTTTTTCTTCTTTCGGTTTTTTTTTTTTGGCGGATTTTGTATTGCAGACTGTTAATCATTTTAACCGTACCACAATGCATTTTCTTTTTTTCAGTTGAATTTTCATATCATAGCGGGCATAAAAAGGCTTAACACTGGACCGGAAGCGTGTTTTTAAAGGGTGATGGCGGCCTCCACTCAAGGAGAAATACGAGTGGGTCCCGGCCACCAGGTAAACGATGTCTATGTACGTACATAACTCTCACAATTCAGAAATTCAGCTCACGGTAACAAAATAAAAAAAATGCAAAATAAAAAAAAAAAAATAAAAGAGATGTTATTTTCTTTTTGTATTGTAATCGTAATGTTGCAAATTCTAATTGTAATCCCAATTAATATACCCACCCAATTCCACACACCTGTCCAGCCCAACCAATACACAACATTCGCTTGTCTTGAGCTTTCAGTTCAATCAAACTTTCCAAATTTCATCCGATTATTAAGTTGCCCACGATATGATGAAATCATAGACAAAGCCTATTCTAAAATTCTTCCCTTGATTTCTCTACATATTCTTTAATAGAATTTAATCTTAAAAGATGAGCTGGTGATAATTTTAATTGAAAATTTGTAATCTATAAACTGTAAAGAATTCTATGCTCCGTACAGTGTTCACTCGATAACTGGAAACTCCTTATATATACATTTTATCTAATATTGTTGCAAGGCTCTTTCGTGTGGGCAACTTTGATTTGTAGCTTGATAAAATTTATAAATAATACTCAATTACTAACAGCTGTAAATAATACGCTTAAACAATTGGTTTTTCATATCAACTAATGCGTAAAGAACATTTACAACCCTTCCGCCTAAGTCTACCCAATCCGTATCTCCTTCACATCGCCAATCGCTGAGGTGCTTGCGGTCAAATCATTTACATGGCCAAAGGTGTTCAGTAACAGGCGTTTAACCGTTTCCTACCCTCCCGCCCCTATCCAAGAAACCGAACACACACACACACACACACACACATACGTACACCTCTCATCAATGCATTGTTCATACATTTCGTGCATTAGACTTAAGTTGTGTATTGTCATATCTTCCTGTATCGTATGACACCAGACAAACTACATGCATACATATCTTTATATATGTGTATACATGCCCGGTTGGAAATGCGCTGCTTATTGATAATACAAATAGTTGGACAGTAAAATGAAAGAAGCGAGTGCTCTAAGACAAGTCATGCAGCATGTCCTGCAAGACGTGTTGCATGACATGTCATCAAGGGTGTCCTGCATGAATTGCAGTTCCAACCGGGTTGGCTTACATTGTATGGCTTAATGTGTTCGTAGAGTATGTCTCGAGTCTGTGGTGTGTGTGATATAACTAATCCAAAAAAAAAAAAAGAAAAAAAAAAAATAGAGTTGATGCGATGTTTTTATGGCGTTTCGTTCCGTTTTTTTTTTTATTAACTAATACCGCAACTTCTTCTGTCTTGTCTTGTCCTGTGACTGAAGGCAAAACTGCCCGATTATAATCCAATCTCAAGCTTCCCCGTTGACAAGGAAACCGATGAACGTGAACTAGAGGAAACAAGATGGAGTCCTGGCGTTGTGGCCGATGGCGACTTGTTAATGTTTCTGCGTGCGGCACGCTCCATGGCTGCATTTCAAGGAATGTGTGATGGCGGTTTAGAAGACGGTTGTTTGGCTGCCAGTCGCGACGACACAACAATTAACGCACTAGACGTGGTAAGTGAACCCATTTAACTCCTACTCTGACTTTCCGCCTGCCATCCGTTCGACTAATTGTTGTCGCATTCCGTTTTAATAGCTGCACGATTCTGGCTACGATCCAGGCAAAGCTCTACAAGCGCTCGTAAAGTGCCCCGTATCAAAGGGCATTGACAAGAAGTGGACCGAGGACGAAACGAAAAAGTTCATCAAGGGTCTACGACAATTTGGCAAGAATTTCTTTAGGATCCACAAGGACCTGCTGCCACACAAAGACACACCGGAGCTGGTCGAGTTCTACTATCTGTGGAAGAAGACGCCCGGTGCCAACAATAATCGCCCGCATCGGCGACGCAGACAGAGCGCCTTGCGTCGCAATCGTGTTACGCGCGCCAACAATACACCTCCCAAAAAGGAGGACACCCCGGAACCACAAGCTGCGACGACGGCGACGGCGGCGGCGTCGGCTGCAGAGACGGCGAATCGCTCATCGCCCGCTGTCTCCAAGGAGGAGAACAGTTCTCTAACCGAGGACGACGCCAGCGAGTGTGACAGTGATTCGAGTCTGACCAACAAAAGGGATGAATCACCCTCAAGGATGAGGACGAGAAACAAACAACAGAACAACAACAACAACAACAACAGCAGCAGCGCCAGTGCAGCTGGTGGCGGTGGCAACTCCGCTGCTGCTGCTACTGCTGCCTCCTCCGTCAACGCTTCTGCCAACAGCAGCTCCGCCAAGGATCAATCCTCGGGCTCAGCGAGCAACAACAGCAACGCCGTGGCGAACGGCAAGCGACCCAAACGGGGCTCCGATACACCGGATGCTGCCGCTGCCGCAGCAGCCGCTGTTGCCGGCGACAGTCCCAAAACGCCCACCAAGAGCGTGGCCGAGGGATCCGGCAATAAGCGCAAGGGCGGCAAGCAGGACACGCCCAACAAGAAGAAGCGCACCGAAACGGATACCAATAACAGCAGCAGCGAGCAGGCCAACAACAGCACCGAGGACAACATCAAGGAGAAGCAGCGCAAGCGACCGGACAGTCCAGTCGAGAGCATGAACTCCGACAGTCGTCCCGACTCTGTTCTGGACGATGGCGAGTCGAATACAACAGACACGGATGGCCGCACAGCGGAGCAGCAGTCCAGCAAGGACAGCAAGGAGATCAACTGCAAGGAGGAGAGCGGCGCTGTGACGCTGTCCGGCGATCTGGACTCCAAGTCGGAGGTCAATGAGAAATCGATCAAAACCGAAACGTCCTGCGCGGAAGACAACAAAGATGCCATCAAGAACATGGATGAGGAGACCAATATTCAAGCGCCCAGCAGCATACAGCCACTCAGCATCAAGCCCACGCACGTGGATGGTCTGCTAAAGGACTCCAGCTCCTTGGAGGCACCACAAGCTGCTGTTGCGGTTGCACCGATTGCAATGAAGGTGCCCACAATTGCCACCGTCGAGGCGCTCAATGCCTCTGTCGACCGTGATCGCAAGGAAGCCATTGAGAAAATGGAGATATGTGAGAATGAAGCGGCTGCACGTGATCCCGATCTGCTCAAGAAGCTCGCTAGCATCAAGCAGGAGACATTGCCTCAGCAGCAGCAGCAGCAACAACAACAACAACAACAACAACAACAGCAGCAGCAACAACAACAACATCAGCAGCAGCAACAGCAACAGCTGGGTGTGCCGCCAGTGTCAGCTGCCTCGGGGCCCATGCAGGAGGCTGTTTACATTAAAAAGGAGCCCATGGAGGACTCGATGGACGCCACATGCAATCAAAACAGCAACGAGCCGCAGGATCTCAAGGTTAAAATCGAAATCAAAAACGAGGATCTGAAAATAAATGCCAGCGGTCTGCCACCAGTCAGTTCCGCGGCGCCGCCGCCCAATGCCCAACTTGCTGGCCTGCATCATGGCGCCGTGGATGGTGTCAATGCGGAGCCACTGCATCTACAGCATATGCCACATGGACCAACGCCGCAGGCGCCCGCCGGTTATCTAATCGACGGGCAGCTTAAGTATGGACCACCCGGGCAACCGCCTCCACAGCCGCCGCCGCAGCTGCACAGTGATCCGGGCAGCGGTGGGGTAGCGAGCGCAACGCCTCAGAAATATCCTGGCGATATGGAAATGAAGTACAACGAGGCGGCCGTCAAATTTGAGCCCAGCAGCGGTAAATTTGCGCCACAGGAGCTGAAGTATCCGGTGCCACCGCAACTGGATCCGCTCAAGTACAGCCAGGAGATTCAGGCAGCGGCTGCCGCTGCGGCAGCTGTGGGCAAATACGACATGAAGTACATGATCGAGCAGCAGGGCAAGTACCCGGTGGAGCTGGCACCGCCCAAACCGGGCTACCAGGAGGCGCTCAAGATACCCGATGTAAAGCCGGGCTTTGCCCATCTGCCGCACAACATTGGCCCGTCGTTGGACGGACCCGGTTCGCACAAATATGCGCCGTCAGCTCAGCCCGGCCAGCCGATGGATCAGCAGCCGCCGGGCGCGACACCACCGCCCGGCATTGCCATGCCCAAGCCGCATTATCAGCACGATGTGCAGACGCCACCGCTGGGGCGACCCTTTGAGCCCGCAGGCCTCATGCTCAAGTATGGTGATCCATTGGCCGGCAAATATGGGCCGCCACAGCCGCAGGATCTCAAGTATCCGATGCCGCCCGTGTCCGCTGCCGGCGGCGAGAATCTGATCAAAGCCTCGCCATATGGCCCGCCGCCAGAGAGTCCCATTGACGCCTCGGCGCGCTCCACGCCCGGCCAGGATAGCCAGGGCAGCAATAGCAATAGCAATTCGCAGCCGCCATCCTCACAGCCGCAGCAGTTCCAGTCGCCGCATCCCTCGCCGCACATGCCTTCGCCAGCTGGCGGCGGTTTGCCACCTGGCATGCATCCACAAAATCTCATCTCCCCGCACAGCCATGGACCGCCGCCGAATAGTGGCGCCGGTTCCGGTCCAGGTCCACAGCCGCCAACGTCGCTGCATCAGCCGATTAGCAGCACAATGTCGGGTCAGGGTGGACCGCCCAGTCTGCAGCATGGACTGCCGCCGGGCCCGGGTGGCCCACACGCACAAATATCGGTCGCCAATTCGCTGTCGGGCGTCGTCTCATCGCTGGGCGCGCCCACGCTTTCCACAATGGCGCCCTCGCATCCCATGCACCCGCACATGCATCCGCACCAGCATCCGCATCTGCAGTCGCTGCAGTCACTGCACCGACCGCATCCCGATCTGCCGCCATCCATGCATCCGCATGCGCCCATGGCCATGTCGCTGCAGGCGCCAGGTCCGCCGCCACCGCACAGCCACGGCCATCCGCTGGCGCCCGGCCACGGACAGCAGCAGCAGCAGCCAGGACCGGGTGGTCCAGCTGGCACAGTACGCACGCCTTCGCCGGCGCAGCAGCAACAGCCGCCGCCGCGTAGCCTGCACGAGCCGCTGCCAACATCGCGTGAGCCGCCCGCCTCGCACACATCGACGGCGCCAACGGGGTCGATAAGCGGCCTGAGCTCCGGGCCGGGACAGGGCCAGGGACCGGGACCAATGCCACATCAGTCACCGCACGCGCATCGCACATCACCGCTGCCGGGTCTGGCGCATCCGTCTGGCCTCATAGGCCATCCGATGCCCATACATCCGCACTTGGCGCACCTGCCACCGGGTCATCCGGCGCACGCAGCGCTCGCGCATCCCGGCCATCATCTGCTCTCGCATTCGATAGCAGGGCTGAGCCATGGCGGCGGTCCCATTGCGCTCTTGGCGGGTCCCGGTGGACTGGGTGGCCTGCCCGAGTCGGCGCTCAGTCGACGCACACCGCCTAGCCATCTGTCGCACCCGCATGCCTCGTCAGCGCCCTCGACGCCGCACTCGGTGGCCATCTCGACGAGCATGTCGCTGACCACCACACCCAATACGGTGCCATCGTCCGCCTTTAGTCGCGCCAGTCCCAGCGTGCAACTCTCCAGCGGTTCCGCTCCAGCTGGCCCTGGCGGCAACAGCAACAGTGGCACGCCGAACAACTCGTCCGCAGCTGCCGCTGCTGCGGCCGCGGCCGCTGCACATCGCGCCGCCTCGCCCGCTTCCAGTGTGGGCAGCCTGAGTCGCCAGAGTCCGCTGCATCCTGTGCCGCAATCGCCGCTGAGTCATCATCCCTCATCGTCGGCGTTGTCCGCCGCGGCGGCGGCCGTTGCCGAACGGGATCGGCATGCGCTGATGCGCCAACAGTCGCCGCATATGACGCCGCCGCCAGTGTCCAGCGCATCGGGTCTGATGGCCAGTCCGCTCAGCAAGATGTATGCACCGCAGCCGGGTCAGCGAGGATTGGGTACTTCGCCGCCGCCGCATTTGCGACCGGGCGCCTCGCCGCCGGTTATACGCCATCCACAGATGCCGCTGCCGTTGCCGTTGATTGCACCAGGCGGTGGCATACCGCAGATTGGCGTGCATCCTGGTCAGTCGCCGTATCCGCATCCGTTGCTACATCCCTCGGTCTTCTACTCGCCGCACCATCACAATCCCTTCAACTCGCCGTACGGCTATGCGCCCTATGGGCCTGGCTTCCCTGCCTATATGAAGCCGCCGCCACCAGCCGGTCCACTGGATCCCGCCGCTGTGATGGCGGCCCATCATGCTGGATTGTCTGGTCCGCCGCCGCAATCGCGTCAGGATGAACAGAATGCAGCAGCTGCCGCCGCGGTGGCTGCTGAAAAGCAACACGCGGCGGCAGTAGCCGCTGCTCAACAGCAACACAAGACGCCCCAGCAGCAGCAGCAACAGCAGCAGCAACAACAACAACAACAGCAACAGCAGCAACAACAACAACAACAACAGCATCAACAACAACAACAACAGCAGCAGCAACAACAACAGCAACAACAGCAGCAACAACAGCAACAACAACAGCAGCAGCAGCAGCAGCAACCTGGCGGTCCGCAACAGAATAAGCCGCCGACGCCAAAGACGCCGCAGGGACCTGGTGGCATGAGTGTCGGCATGGGCGGGCCAGGCACGCCAACAGGTCTGCCACCTGGTGCCTATCCGGGCTCTCACCTGGCCGGCTATCCGCCGCCGCCGCACTCGTCGCCGTTTGCGCCGCAGGATGGACAGCAGCATGGCATGAAACCGACCTCGCACATGGATGCGTTGCGAGCGCACGCGCACTCGGCCAACTCTGCGGGCATGGGCGGTGGACATCATCCGACAGAGCCATGTAAGTGTCAGCAACTCGAAGAGATTTGGCAGCTGTTCTCAAATAATCATAAATCTTGTGTATTTGTAGTGCCCATTGACATTGAGCCGGATCCGGAGCCGGAGATACCTAGCCCCACGCACAACATACCGCGCGGTCCCAGTCCCGAGGCGAAGCCCGACGATACCGAATGCCATCGCTCGCAGTCGGCCATGTAAGTAGCCCCAACATTGAATACACTTGCTTCAGCCAAATCTTAATTATCTATTCACACGCATTGCAGCTTTGTGCGGCACATCGATCGCGGCGACTACAACTCGTGCACGCGCACGGATCTGATCTTCAAGCCGGTGACCGACTCGAAGCTGGCGCGCAAGCGTGAGGAACGCGACCGTAAACTGGCCGAAAAGGAGCGCGAGAGAAGACAGGTGAGAAAATGTGCATTGGCTAAATTGAAGAGGGTCTAACAATTATATGTTCTCCCTCTTAGCAGCAGCAACAACAGCAGCAGCAACAACAACAGCAACAGGCAGCTGCCGCACAACAGGCTGCACAGCAGGCGAAGCTAAAGGCCGAGCTGAAGCCGCCGTATGCGGACACGCCGGCGCTGCGTCAATTGTCGGAATACGCGCGTCCACATGTCGCCTTCAGGTGAGCGTCGAATCCTTTAAAGGATTTCCATATTGTTGAGTCTTATTTAGTTAAAGTCTTGTTTTGATTTGTAGTCAATTATATGTATATGTAGTTGATTTGTGAGTCGCGTTCGTATTGTAATAATTTCCATTTCGATTTCAGTCCTGTTGAGCAGATGGTGCCTTATCATCATCCAATGGGCCCCATGTATAGCCGAGAGAGGTACAGTACCTAGTACAAGCCTGCCAAATCCTCATCTCAAAGCACAACTACACACGCAAAACACACACACACCCGCACACACCCGCACACATGCACACACATTTATACTGACAACCGAACTAATCCTTTGCTAACTAACCTTCATATTTTGCTTAATTACACGCACGGTCAAAATTAATGCTTCAGTTCTTAATCCATTCGCTGCTTATTTGCCTGCCCTTAACCTTAATCCTCGACAAAATATTAAACCTATTTCTGCTTCTCCAAATTGTAGGCCCTTACTCATGCTTCCAACCTTGACTAATTGCAGAGAATTGGAGGAGATTAAAAATGCACAAGCGGCTGCCGCGAGTCAATCGCGACTGGATCCACACTGGATGGAATACTACAGACGGTAAGTCGCAGCCTCAAACAATCTTACCCAGGCAATCTTACTAAATTCTCAACTTCTGTTGCAGTGGCATACATCCCTCACAGTTTCCGCTGTACGCGAATCCGGCCATTTCACAAATGGAACGCGAGCGCCTGGGCATACCGCCGCCGCATCATGTTGGCATGGATCCGGGCGAGCATATGGTGCGTATAGACTGCATGGCCAGCTCTCATCTTGTACACCATACTCGAAACTCCACTCATATTCACAGAATCAATCGTATTTGGAAAAAGAAAAAAAAAAGCAAAAACAAAACAATTTAAACCAAACGAATTCAAAACATCTCTGCACAAATCACATGTCCACTTGTCAGCTCAATTAACCAAAAAGAAATTGAAAACGAAAAAGATCTGTCATTAATTAGCGTACAACATGTGTCCATGTCCAAGCTAACCCACATTTGGCCAGCCAAGTGTCTTGTGCTCCACATGTGAGACGTGTCGCTGCCGCTCTCTAACTCCCATTTGTAAGCCATCAGCAGTCGGTGCTCGTTTCTTGTTTCTCGTTGCTCGTTTTCGCCATTCTAACACGCATTATCCACAATTCCATAACGCATATTCCCGCTCCCACTTACAACAAAAATGTCGCATTGCTATATTGCAAGCAGGCTCCATTATTCTCAGACGCAGCACTGGCTCTTTTGAAACTATCAACGATATTCAATAATTTTCAGATACGATTGACGAGAGAATATCATGCACACTCTCATACTCATTTACATTTGCCTTTGCATCCACAGCCGCAACCACCGGAGGCCGGTTTCCAACTGCCACGTGAGTTTGTATAGTCGCTGAGTTGTGAAAATCACAAAAATAAAACTAATGTGTGCATATCTCTATGCTTCACTTTTCCCCCTCTTTTCTCTCTCTCTCTCTCTCTCCGCACTCTCTTCATTTTGAATCTTTAGCGAATGTTGGGCAATATCCGCGCCCAAATATGCTTATACCTAGGGAGCCGCACTCGGACGTTTTGCTGCGTATGTCGTATGCGGATCAGCTACAGGTTTCCCAAATTCCCAAGAAAATTTCCTAACTGATTAATTACATATATACAGTATTTACAGGCCGCCGAGTTTCAACGTCAATCGCTGCACGATCAGTACTTTAGGTGAGTCTCAACAAATGGTGCCATTCATCATTGGGATGGACCAAAAATACCAACAACAACAACAGTCATCAACAGTCAGTCATTCGGCTCATTTGCTCATCTGTATTTTAGTGTGACTTTTTTGACTTTTGTTTATTGTCTTTGTATTTGTTTGTATCTTTATCATTTTGTGTATTTTGTATCTGTATCACGCCCACCTTCTTTTTCTATCCATAACAGACAACGGCCCAGATAAGTGGACTATTGGCCAGGCAGACAGAATCCCAAAAGCAACTGAACAAAGAAAATACTCTTGGCCGGCGGCCGTGAGGAAAATGCTTTGTGTGATTTTTGTGTTCAAACGTTTACATTTTGCTTTTCAACAACAACAACAACAACAACAGCCAGAACAACATTCATGCATATATAATTATATATACACACAACAAGAGCAACATAAGGCAATGGTCCCATATATATAAAAATATCGTGCATCCAGGCTATATAACTAGCAACTTTATGTTGTGCAACGCTTTGTCCAGTTTTTATGTAAAAAGTTAGTAAAGTTTTTAATTTATCATCAATGCGCATTCCACACAACTGTTATCACATCTAGACACTAGAATCCTTTCAATTAATTTTATGCTAATCTGTATTCCACTTTTACACAGAAACCAGCTACGTTAAGTGTGTTCCGTTCTGAACAGCTGACACCAACTTAAATAATATGGACAAAGGGAATCGCATACAAAATCAAAAGAAAAAAAACCAACTGACGAGAAACAAGCAAAGAAAACATGATGGTCGCAATATTTTAAGTATCGTCTTTATAGTGTATAGTGTTAAAATTCAAAAAACCAACAAACAAACAAATGAGAGGAGATGAATGCGTGTTAATTATCGTTTAAGTCTACGAGAATTGATTAAGGCAAATGGAACAAAACTTAGCACACAAATTTTTAAGGTTTTCAACTGCATAATGTGCAAAACATATTTCCGATTGTAGCAGCACTTTGATAATACCCTATGACTAAATACTAAGCTCTACTATTCAAAACAAATTAACTAGACTTTTTCCAATTAGCTAAAACAACAACAGAGCAAAACCAAACTTTTTAGAATATATAATATATATATGTATACAACTACAGGACATGGTTAAGGCTAAAAAGCTTGTGCGCCTTGTTCCGATCAAACCGATGCCTGTCTATATATATATATATATATATATATATAAATATATATATTGAATGTATTGTACAAAGGGCTACTTAGAGATCTTAGCTGTCGCCGCTTACTGCAACTATTTTGACATCTCACATATGCTGAGGATGTGTAATATATAACATTTCAACTAAATGTACTTCCAGCCACAATTGAACTATGTAATTTGTAATGTTAGTGCGCTTTTGCTGCTTACCTTGAATTCTTAGTAATTTAGTAATACGTTATTTTTGTGTTGGCTAGCTTGGCTTACTTACTACTCATTAATTTATTCATTTTTTGCTTTAACTATAGTATTATATATTATCAAAAAGAAACAACAAAGGAAGGCAACAACAACAACAACAACAAAAACGTGTTTGTATAAAGTTTCATAAAACAAAAAAAAATAACAAAAAAAAAATAGCTAGCTCATAAGTAAACAATTAATGTATGTGAATTGTCGATGCGATTTTCAGCAAGAAAAGCATGCACATTTCCTGCAAGTCCCCAAACGCGATCCATGTACTATATATATATATAGAAAGAGAGAGAGATATATGGAGAGCGGCGTGTGCATGTGTAGCAGCTGCAATATTTCGAGTGCTTAATTTATATTATTAGTAATTTATACACAATATATATATATATATATTAATTATATGAGCAGCATGCATTAAAACAGATAAATCTATATTTCAAGAAAATGAAAAGATTTATATTATATTTAAGGCCAATGCAACTACACGCATGCACACACACACTACGACAATTTGACATGGATGCGTCGTGAATAATACTATAAACAAATTACATATTTTTAAATACCATTTTTTATTTGACATTATGAATATACACATTGAATTATAGTATAATATATATATATATATACATATACAGCGTTTATTGTAGAATTTTGCGAGCATATTTGAAAGAAAATGAAAAACTATAAAAAAAAAAAAAACAAAGCTGAAAACCAAGCACACAAACAAACAACCATGAGCCACATCATATGGCACAGCTATCGTTTAAGATTGTAAAGTGAAAAATCCAGGCGTACATATTTATATATACATATACAAAAAAAAAATGAAAGGAACAACATGCAGCTATATATGCATATGCTAAAAATATATAAATATATATATATATATATATATATATATATATATATTTCACACAAAACAAAAAGCATATACACAATTCGATGATAATGATAATACAAAATAAATTATTAAAAACCTGTAAAAACTAAGTAAAGCAAAATAAAATTAGTTACATTAGTTACAAATCCAAACAACGTTCATTCAATTAACTATTTAAATAACTTCTCTTAATGCGTACAAAATAAACAACTTGACCGAAAATTACATTTAAATTAATATTAAAATTTGATAAATTGCAGAAAACACGAAAATTAGTTTTCAGCCATTGGCGCTCGAGTTTTAAGTTTAATTAGTTTAAGTTTTCTTACTTTGCATATTTTTGTATTATTATTGAGCCATAAAAAGAGCGAAGCAACAATACGTGAGTTGCAATACCCTTTGAATTGTGTGTTCGCAATAATTATTTTTAATTTTGTTCTTAAGTCAAGAATTGTAAACTTTTTTGTTTTAAATTGTGCTAAAAACTCGACTATGCGGTGCTCAATAATCTCAGGAGTCAGGCAATTAGCTCAGGCCAATTACATCAACAGCTCTAGCTGTAAGGGACGATGTCCTACAACGATTTCTTAAATTCACCGAGATGTTTGGCTGCTTAAAGAGTGAGTTTCGCGCTATATCAATTTATTTTACCCCTTCATCCATCATTTGTCATATTATAGCGTTTTTGCTTTCATCAATCATGCAACGCTTTCGTGTCGGAAATGTATTATTTGTTTTCATCTAAGCAACAAGTTTTTGTGCTGCATACCCCAAAAAGGAAACGAGTTTTTATGCCCCAGCAGAGAGTATTGCACTGCCGACGGTAAGTGTGTAATACTTATTTGTCTATCTTATGCGCATATATTTGTTATCTGAATCAATACTTACTTGAGGCACTCGCATATATTAAAAATAGATATGTTACAAAGCTCAAATGATAATATTTTAGATAGTAGGTGCATAGGGTTTTATTTATTTATTGATAGCCAAGCATGGTAACCACAATTACACGTAACATTATAAATATATATTTGTATAGAAAGATTTTACTTATTGCGAGCAGCAGCTCGTAAATTACAATGTGCAGTGGCATTATAATAACAAATCACGTGTATGGGTATGAAAATTGAATGAAGAGCATAAATAACAATAATCAACTATGCTTAACGCACGGGCCTAGCACTTAAATGTGGCTGTGATTGTGCGTATATATATATATATATAGTATATATATCAATTCATGAATAATCGATCAAATAAATAGAATCGGTGCCATGTGCTGCATTAATAATGAATAGCTCGCCACGTTGGCTCTTAAATCTTAAAGCATTTGTTAATCACAGTATTAGACATGTGCTTCATGCATGCCATATTGGGTCAAGTGTGCCTCCTTTCTGCTTTCCAATTCAAATTGCCGGCACACGTCCTCACACTGCGACAAAGCGTGCAAACAAAGCCGTAGCCGGAGCCGGCTAAATTACAGGTCTTAATTAAAATAGTAAGCGTGCGGGAGCGATGTATTTAATACAAAACATTCGCGTTGCGGTCCGGGTCTGTGGGCCAGCAACTGCGCCGTATGCCTCTAATTAAAGGCCACTAAAACGATGTCCTTGAGCTGCGCACACCAGCAGGCTGAGGCCTAGCAGGGCGGCGAACCAGCCACACGCGATGCGACCGGCTGCATTTTCGGCGTCCACGAACGGAATGGAGCCCCAATCCCGTTTGGCAATGTCGGGTATGCCGGGATCGTTAAAGTAAACGACCCGATTGTTGAGCGGTTGGGTCGGACGAAAGTTGTTCTTCAGATGGTCATCGTTGGCCGTCAATAGCCGAAAGTGATTCAGCTGTGAGTAAACCAGTTGTCAATCAAATATACGATAACAATGTTCGACCAGACGAGACGACTCACCTGATACTCTGATATGTCGATGGGCTGATAGAAATCTATCCAGACCACCTTCTCGGCGCATGGCGGTGTTGTCAACGAGCCTGTGTAGGTGAAATAGGTAACAAGATCATATTCCAAAAACTTGTTCAGCGGCAAAGGTTGCGCCAATTCAGCGGATTGGCCCTTGTGGCTTATCTTGTCCAGCAGCTCCGCAAATTCGCCATAGTTGGGATTATCCGCTGCTGTAATCTAGTAATTGTATTATTCTTCAAACAGTTCGGTTCACAAAAAAAAGCGGGCTTCGGGTTAGCTACCTTGAAGAAGAATGCCAACACGGCAATGCCATGATCCTTATCCAGGGCACTCTGAAAGTCCTTGTAATCCAGACTGCGCATAACCACATGCAGCTCAGCGGGATAGGATTGGTTGTTTATCAGATCCTCGCTGCCAACGGTGTCGTTCTCGCCCCAATGAAAGTGAAACTGTTCGAATTGGTAGTCGGTTTTGCGTTCCAGCGGTCCACCCCGGATTCGCGGCTCCTTGCCCGGCTCAAAGTCCATGGTGACCAGCACAGTGTGTCCATTGTTGGTCAACTTAACGCTTTTGGGCTTAGCATCGAAATTGAAATAGTCAGGATAGGGAAACTTTTTCTTTGTCACATTCAGCACATCGATGTTAATCGGACTCTGGAACTTGCCGCTGCAGCGCTGATAATCGTCACCCCAATGCTCCGGTCCATGCTGCCCGCCATAGCCAAAGTCCTGAGCGAAGACAACGGCAACTGTAAAAATGGATGACAATCAAGATCGAGACTTGCTAATTGCTTGGACAAGCCGAGACGGCGATACCGTTCATGATAATGGTGACATCGAGACCATTCGCAAATATTTAATCACGACTGTTATTAATTTGGCTACTATTTTTGGCAGCACTCAGATAGCTAAAAATATGCGATTGTTGTCAGCCTTAATTTGTTGCACAAATAATTTAAATTGTGTATCTTTATAATTCACGCAGAAGCAGGTCATGCTGCGAATCTGTTGGTGTGATTGTCACCTGCAAGACCTCCTACGTTTTCACTTGCATATCTACCTGTTAATTTTTTGCGTGCTTTGTTTCTAAATGCCCTCACATTGGGTATTATGATTTAATCGCATAGGCCCCACATAAAGTAACTATATTCTAGATCGAAGTCAACAGTCGAGCCGATATAGTCATTGTCTCTTTGTCTCTCTATATAAAGCCTTACTCTTGACGTCTTTAGAGTTCCATACAGCACATATGTCGGCATCACCCAAATCAGACCCCTATATCATTTAGCTTATATAGGTATTATAGCTTTTAAATCAAGTGTTTGCCTTATAAGCAAAATCTTATCGATATATTAATACCTTATCATATAGCTATATAGAAAGAATCGGACATGAAAAGAGTTTTCGCATGCGAAAACTTGTCAAAACTTGCTGTTACCAACATCTTAGGGTATCATTACACTTCGGCTTAATGAACTCAAAATCTGTGGCATGGTCTGTTTGGTAATACTGATAATAAATGGCTTTAATGCCTGTCAGAGGTCGACATTGTGCATCATGTGTCATGCATAATTATTTGTTCAATTAGCGTTGATTAAGCAACAATTATCGTGTAAACTGTTTGCTATGTGCTTACGACTTTAATGCCGAACAGCCTTAACTGAGAGCCTTCCTTATTGTAAAAAATAGAAAACAAATATATAAATTATCTTGTCAAGCGTTAAGTTCGCTTTCGGCTAGTTAAAGTTGTGCAATTTTCGAATTTTTAAATTGGTTTCTCTCAAATTAAGCACAGATAATACGTTGCGCTAATTGAAGCAAGTGCTAATTCCGTAAATAGTAAAATTATTATTGGCAATAAGCCGCATGTTTAATTTTTGACAATAAAAACTTAACTAAACTGAATTCTAAATTAGCTAAGCACGCAAAACAAAAAAAAAAAAACAACAACAACTTTTATTCATGTGTGTTCAAGTAATTGTTGAATTATTCATTGTGTGATTTGAGACAAATTGGCCAACTAGCGAATCGTTTTGCTTTCATTGCCTTGTTGTTTTTTTTTTGTTGTTGTGTGGTTTCCGGACTTCCGGCCTGTTGCCAGACATTCTCAAACGGGCTGCAAAAGGCACGTTGTTGCGCTGTCAAAGGAAAGCCAAACTAACAAAGGGCTTGAGTCAGGCAGAAGTGAAGTTTAAACTTATTTAATCGTCTGCTTGTTGAATTTTATATGGGCCAGACATGTTATAAACGTGTTTCTGATTGTTGCACAAAGATAATCAACCTGTTTTTTGGAACTTGTGGCGTGTCAAGGACACATTAGTCGAATCCAATATTAAAGAACCTTTATTTAAGTAGTTATGTCTGCTAATGTTGTTATTTAAAACAATCTTAAGCCAATTACTGCACTAATTATAGTTGAACAATTAACACTCTACACTCTCTATTTCTATTGCAATTCGACACTCGGAGAAGCAGCTGCAACCAGATCAGCACAATTCTAAATGTTGCACAAATATTTGCTAAACAATTCCGGCAAATGACAAGCTTTGTGCGCTGCTAATAAATCAAGTAATATGCATTAATTGTCTGTAACTTGTCGACTTAGTTTATTGCCAAATAAAATGTACTTGGTTACTTTTTAAGCGAACTCTTTCAACCTAGAACAGAGCTATTTTCCTTATACAGCACTCTTGTTAATTGGTCTCATATATATTTCATTGGAGCTCACCACAAGTCAAAAGCAATGCCACACCGAACTGTAGGTTCCACATATCACTTGCTGTTTTCACCGAACACCTTTTGCGTAAATATATATGTAGAAATACTTAAGCCCTTAAGTCGCGACCAGTGGCACAAATCTTTTGGTTTTGTCAATGTGTCAGTCTGTCAAGCGCTGTTCACCCGCCAAATGCGGTCGCACAACTGCGGTTAGGACCCGCATGTCGCAGAAACTTATATCAACTAGCCAAAGGCTGTTGACGGCTTTTGTTGCTTTTGCAGCGGCTCGCACTCGACTCGACTCGAGTCGAAACTTAAATCGGCCCTCGCCAATATTGAATCAATATTGTCAGTGGTCTCTGTTGTCCCCCTGATGACGTTAATATTATTGAGACACAATTTTGAATAGTTAGTCAGACGCTGCCGTTCACCCACAGCTATATAATATATATAAGAAAAAGTACTAGAGTTGGGCATAATAGTGATTTTTGAGTCACAGTAATTGGATTTAGTAAAGCACACATGTATTTCCTTTAAGCAGACAAGCGCGAGATCTAAGCTCAGCTTAAAGCTTCAAATTTAAGCGTTCATGTTAGTCAAAAATAAAACAGTTTAAACCTCTTGAACGCGCAAAACTGCTTCACATGAATAAATTACTTGTGAGTAATCACTGTTTAGTGATCATAAACGCGTCTCTAAAACTGAAAATTACCTGTTCACAGACAATTTTTGAATGAGTAATTGCGCATTGGAAATGATTGTGATTGGTTGACTGTTAGTGAGCGAACAGTGCAAGATTACGTAAAGTGACTTATATAGGTGATTTCTGTTAAGAGGGTCATGTTACGAGACCTATGTTAGGTTGACTTATGTTATGTTGTATGTTGACTTATGTTAAGAGCAATACTGCTATGTACTACTTTTCAAGCAATCTTGGCTTCACTCAGCAATTACGAGCTGTACTATTCTCCTAACATATCCGGAAAACTAGTTTGAGGGCGTGTTAGAAATGAGACGTGATTGATTGACTGATTAACAGTCTTATGTTAGGTGATTTCTGTTAAGACACTTATGTTACGGAACTTATGTTGGATGACTTAAGTAACGAGAATTTCTGTTACGAGACTTGTTACGAGACCTATGTTAAGAGATTTACTGCTTAGTTCGGCAATAACCAGTGAAAGTTGATAAAAGCAAGCTTTATCCGACGACAGCGCGTTTTCTTATCTCCAACTAGCTATTAGTTTTTCTGGCGTACTTAAGCTGATTACATTGTTTTTATCTTGTACAATAGTACGGCAAATTGTATGGTAATTAAGAACTCGCCCCAATCTCGTTAAAATTTGCCCACTTTGAATGGCGCCGGTGGCGATTGCGTTAAATTACAACGAATTTTTCCATTGTATTTAACAGCTTGCTAGCATTATTGTAGAAGTTTCTGGTAAACAAAAGCGTTAATCCCCCAATGGCTCAATTTGGGTATTAAAAATGAATGCGCCAAGTGACTCAATATGCATTCTCATTATAACCAATGGACAATGGTTGCATGTTGCACGGTGCACGTTGAGGATGGGGTGTTAACACAATTTCAAGCTTATTAAATTGTACAAAAGAAATTGCCGTCAATTGAGCCACTGAGTCATCAAGTGGTGCTGCACCACACTTAAGACAAATGACAATTGAAGCTGTTGTTTGTATAACTGTTTAGTTAGATGTACAAAATTTTACACATTAACCCAACTTTAAAACAATCGTATAATTGTTTTCCAAACCTCTTAAGTTATATATATATAATTAAGTTTTACACGTTAGGTTACTATAAAAAAATATATTTCAATTTATTATTTTCACTTAACGGCTACTTTTGTTGAGTACATTCAGATTTGCTTCCCGAATATGAACTGATTTATCTAACTGTTGCGGTCGCTTAGCAAACTTCGCTTTGAGAGAGTTTGAGTCAAAATTGAGTGAAGTTTGAGCTGCGTCAGCAATTATGCGTGGGATAGTACTCTGATGGGAACATTGACAGTGGCGTGATATTTAGGGTGAATTGTTTATGTCTACCAAAGGGGGACAGTTTGATCTTGACCAATGTCGATGTTATCACCAGGCTCTTTGTTTACAATATTAGAAATGTTTATAATTGTGCTTATGCTTATGTGCTAAGTTATGTTAAAGGGTGGGTGCGACTATGGATATGTCACTCCCCCAACCATTAGAAAAGTGCCTGTCCTCAGGTGTTTAAGTTTGGATATAGTGTAACATTTTCTTCTTTTACAATTGGTATATCTCCTATTATTGTAGGTGTTTCTTCTACTTTGGGTTTTTTATATTTTATAATTAATTTCTTAGGTATGCTTTTGAACTTATATGTCAAATACAGTGTTAAACTTATTAATATGATTACAAATATGGTTATTGTAATTATCTGGAATACATTGTTAAATTTTGTATGTGCATTTATAATTTGTTTCGTTTGTACAAACGAAAGTGGTTCTAATTTTATAACATCATTGCTTACGTAAATGCTTTGAGTATAATCTAACATATTGTTTGAAATTGAAATTTCATTAATTTGCAATGAACAATTAAAGATTTTTATTATATTGTTTCCTTCTATTGTTATTTCGTTATTTATACAATTATGGTTTAATATAGTTTTTGGTAAATTCCAAGTTAAAATTATATTTGGTTCTATGTAGTTGATTTGAAAATTTTGCAAAATTTTAGTATAACTACATTCTGATGTTATTTGGTTTAAAATTCCTGTTAAACATTCATTATTAATTAATTTTTTTGTTTCTCTGCTATAAACTTTTTTATCTTGGGTAAAATATTTTTCATGAGCTATTTCTGTCAAAATATTATTATTTTCATCCGGGTATGGAATTATTTCGAATACCGGGCTTTTTATTATTTCTCGAGGAATATGGGATATTATCAGTATTTCGTTTGTATCTGATTTAAACCAAGTGGAAGTTTTTGTATTCAACAATTTCTCAGAATTAACATGCAACAAATAGTCATGTTTTAGTAATTTTGGGTTAAAAATTCCTAATCTTGTGAGCTGCATTCCCATCTCAATGTCTTCTATATATTCTGTAAAGTGTTGTAAGTTAAATATAAGGATATCTAATTTCTTTCCTTTTTGTTTCTCTTGATCTAGTTCGTTCATGATTTCTATTCCTTTGTTTATAGCTTCTATTATGTAATTTAATTCGTTAACCTGAACGCTGTTTTCTGCTAAGTTGCTTATTTTTTGTTCAATTTCTGCTTTGTCTTCTTGATTTAATGTTCCAAATAAGTATTTATATGCTGTTCCTACTATGTTAACTAAACCTCTTTTGCTACGTTTGGCTATTTTTAAGCCGTTTATTTCTCTGTTTAATTTTTCTACTAGGTATTCGATTTGTATAAGGTTATTGAATTCTTTACTTTGTTCAATTAAATTGTTAAAAGTTTCTTCGGTTTTTGTTGAGGTTATTTATTAGTTTTTCTTTATTAGCTTGAGTGTCATACTCTGGTGTACCTGCATATATGAATATGTCCGCTGGTGTTCTGTTAGTCGTTTTGTGCTTTGTTTTATGATTGTACGTGTAGAGTATAGTTTCAAATTTTGTAAGTTTATTTTCGACGTCTGAGTCGCTGTTAATGATTCTTAGTTTTTCGTTAACTGTCTTATGAAATCGTTCTACGTCGGATATACCGTTTTTACTAGTGGTTATATTAATATTTACTGCTTCTGATTTTAGCCATAATTGTAAAGCTGTGCACATAAAAGCTGAGTCTTTGTCTGCCTTTATTTCGATGGGTTTACCCATTTGGTTGAACACTTGTAATATAGCTCGTTTGGTTTCTAGCCAGTCTCTACTTTTTATTTCTATTAATGATGCAAATTTTGAATAGATATCAATGCAAGATAAAAATTGTTTATCTCCTACTATGTAAAAATCCATTACATATTTTTCTCGGATATTAGCGATTTCCGGAGTTATTTCGAAAGTTAATTTTGTATCTCTGTGTTCTGTTTTTGCGATGTTGCAAATCTCACATTCATTTATTAGATTTTGAATTAGATTTTGATAATCTGGGAAATAGTGGGTTTCTTTGAACCAATTGATAGTTTTTTCAATTCCTGGATGTAATAATTCTTTGTGCTTTTTTAATATTAATTCTTTGAATTCTGCGTATGTTTGAAGGTCTATTAATTTTGTACTAGTTTTCATTGCCTTTGTTGAATTATTCGGACTTATTATTTCTAAGTAGGCTTCTTGAAAAATTGGAAAATCTGCTTCGTTGTGGAAGTATAGCACACTTTTCTTTGTGCATAAGTATTCTTTTATTAATTCTTTGGCATGCGTATTAGTCATGTCTTTGTACGTAATTTTTATGTTGGTTTTGTGAAAGTAATTCGTAACTTTTGTTTCGTTCTCGGTTCCTTTTTCAAATTCTATTTGTCGATTATAATAATTAAGTGGTCTTTCTGTGATTTGTAAATGGTTACTGTTGTCTTCTTGAGCACTATGTATTGTTGCTCTTGTGCTAATTGTATCTTCGCCTAAGAAGTTTTCGTTTAATTGAATTCTGGACAGAGCATCTGCCACATAATTTTCTTTTCCTGGGACGTATTTAATTTGGAAATCAAACTCATTTAGCTTGATCTTCCACCTTTGTAATTTCATGTTAGGTTCTTTCATATTATTTAACCAGACGAGTGGTCTGTGATCACTAAGGATTTGAAATTGTCGACCAAAGAGATAGGACCTAAAGTATTTAGTGGCCCAAACGATTGCTAATAATTCTTTTTCAATCGTTGAATAATTTAACTCATGCTCGTTGAGAGTTCTACTTGCATAGCATATAGGCTTATGCTCTTGCGAAAGGACGGCCCCTATTGCCATATTACTTGCGTCTGTAGTTAATGAAAATGGTTTTTCGAAGTTAGGGTATATTAAAATTGGGTCGGATGTTATGAGTACTTTTAGCTTTTCAAACGCTAGTTCGTAGTCTCTGTCTTTTATATTGATTTTTGCTCCCTTTTTTAATTTAAGTGTTAATGGTTTTACTATATTAGCGAAATTTGGTATAAATTTCCTATAGAAACCACATAATCCTAGAAATGATTTAATTTCTTTTGGGGTTTTTGGAATTGGGAATTTGACAATTGCTTGTATCTTGTTGGGATTTGGTTTTATACCCTCAGTTGTGATGA